TTGAAATCCTGAAAAATGGAAAGTAAACTATTTTTTGGAGTAACATTCTCAAATTATATAAAAATAGCCTTTTTTGACAGTTATCACTGAAACACAAAACGTTTTGTTCACGAATCATGGTATTTTGTCTTTGTCTGGTTTCATAATTTTCTCCCTCTTCTACAAAAATAATTCGAAATCCCACTTTCCTTGTGTGATACAATATGTTCATGATCTGTGGACGAAGACAATTATGAACATGTACATCGATCACTCTCCTCAAAATGAAAACTCTGAAAGGAACCATTGGAACCTCCCGAATAAATCCAAAATATTGCTGTTCTGTTATATTGTTTAGAAAAATGACCATTGATATTTTCCGATTCCGGAGAGGCAGCAGGCGCGCGTTATAATAAAATAAAATACATGTAAAGTGAGTTCGAATTATATCCAGGAGGTTACGTACAGCGCCATCTGCCCGCGAATAGATCAAGCAATATAGTCGATATTTCTGTCGAAACAGATCCCGAACATTCAAACGGGAATAAATATGAAATGAAAAGGAGAGTTACAAACAAACAAGCAAACATACATATATACAGGTGGCACCAATAAAAGCGTGATAAAATAATAATAAAAATATACTTTTTTCAAATGAAGAAATACATCTAAAGTGAGTTCGAATTATATTAAGGAGGTTACGTACAGCGTCATGTGCCCGCGAATATCAAGCAATAACGTCGATAATTCTAGAGGTACAAATAAACTGTTAAACGAACAAACAAACAAACATACATACATACACACATACAGGTGAGGCTAATGATAGCGTGTTAAAAAAATAATAATTCAAAAAACCAACTATGACATAACTAAGTACGAAGAGAGTACACAAAAAAAAATCAGAACTGAAACTTGAAAAAAATATAAATATACATACATATGCACACATACAGGGTGTTTCAAATTCGATCCTCACTATTGGGATCTCGGAAACTATGAGAGATATAAGATTTTGAATATATCAAATATATGAGATATTGAATATACTAATAAAAAATAAATCAATTTAGCTCTTGATATCTTCCGATAATTCAGGAAAATATATGTTTTGAAAATAAACCATACGTTCAACAATTTTTCGAAAATTCCAAAATACGTTAATAATTTGTAGATAATCAAAGGGCAGCATTACAACCAATGCGTAGATTGGTGGTCCTTTGGTGTCTTACTGTACGAAATGCTCCTGGGACAGTCTCCATTCAGCGGTTGTGATGAGGACGAACTTTTTTGGTCCATCTGCAACGAAAAGCCAGTCCTTCCTAGATTTTTGTCTTCTGAGGCAACGTCCATATTAACAATGGTAAGTTTGAATGGAAAGTGATATGGCCTATCAATGAACTGAAACAATCTCTCTATGAAGTAGTAGTAAGTCTAAATACTCTTAATGAAATAACAAGTGTTTTAAATATCGAAATGTCGTTGATAACCAGTTGATATTACTATTTTTGAGAACAGAACACATTTTAACATATTTGAGAGAATATTATTTTATATACTTTTTACGAAATTATCTTATTAGTCAGTGGGCCATGCTTGAAGACAGGCAGCAAACAAATCTAGCCCACTGACTAATAAGAAAGTTTTTCTTCCTTATTGAGAGGAATCGGGCAAATTTCGGATATGCAGTTGGTTAGTACCTCGAGCACTAGATGGAGTGATATTTCTGATGTTCGCTCCAACTTAAGACTTGAACGTTTAAAGTTCATTTCTTTAGATGTGTTTACTGCCACTCTTCAAGCATAGCCTACTGACTAATAAGAAAAAAATACTGATTGGTTATCTTCGGATGATACGAGCCTCCACATCAAAATGTTGTGTTCCAGCATGGATCAAATATAAATCAGCAGGAAAGTTAGAGTTACAATTCTTGTTTTTAATGATTCTCATGCATTGGTTTGCAGAGTACAAAATGAATGCTTACTTTTGAGGCTTTCCGGAGATTATATTTTCGATAGAAATTCATTATATTCATGTTTCATACACTAAATGTATGAATGATTTCATCAATGATGATTATTTTTCAGTTTTTGGAAAAAGATGCGAGCAAACGGTTGGGGAATAGGTTTTCACCACACGGAGACATACAAGACCAGCCCTTCTTCAGAGCCATTGATTGGTATGCATTGGAAGCGAGACAGTTGGAGCCACCTTTCAAACCTAATTTGGTAAGTCTTTTCAAGATGATAATAGGACCACACTTACATACAGTGCAGTCACGAACCTGCAATGAATTGTGATGTAATCGTTTTAAGTTTTCATTTGGAAATAGAAATATGGATGGTAAATTGAACATATTTACAGTGAATAATGGGTTCTTTGAAAATAGTTCAACAGAAATTCATTGTATACGATGAATTGAGAAAGAAGTTGGTTGTTCAAATTACTCACATCTAAAAAAAATTTATTTATTTCATTTATTCAAAGCAGTTAGTGTTACAGAGTTATGAATGAATTATTAGGTAATTATACCATAAATCAACATCCATCCTTTATTCGGAAACTCTGATTGGTTGAACTATATCTTTTGATATTGAAAACAAGTATTGGATCTTCCAGAGATGGGGTAACCCAATTATGAAACTACAGACACTGACAAAGAGATGTCACTCATTTCTGTATCTGTAACCAATGTTTGGAACTTTCTTGTGAAATATTGTCCATTCCAAGGTTGGCAGATCTTAGTTTCTTTTTGTTGAATCAAGTGGGGACTGTATCAGCTGCCTTCGTCAGGTAGGTAAACTACACATATGCATGGATGAGGAAGTTGGACCTGTGACACATTTCAGGAAAGCACCTCGCAATGACTTCAGGGTACTAACTTCACTCATGATCCAGGAGAAGCCCTCCCGACCCCTAGAGGTATCCTATAGCCATCCAGGGCAAAGTGTGCCGCTCTGAACTTTTTTCTGCATACTCACATCTGAAATAACTGTTCAAAGTGCAAGATTCACATCTTGATACCCGCAGCAAACTTCCCGTATGGATATTTCAGTACGTCAGCTACGCCTGTCGATATATTGAATTCAGCCAAACAGGGGTTTTTCGCGTCTGGTTTTGGGAAATTATCATTTGACCGTAAGCGTAAGCTGACCTACTTAGGATAGTTCTGAGGTAGATTCTGTTCTTAGGTTCAATTACCGAATCATGAGTTGAAGAGCCAGCTGAGAAGCTCTTACTCTTGATCCGATGCTAAAGGAAAGTTAGTTGAACTCGAAAAGTCTACATTCATTTTCAATGTAGATTCAAGGTTCGACTTCAAATTTCCAATGTAGATTCAAGGTTTGACTTTGAATTTATGTTTACTACTGAATTATTGAGATTCCAAAAAGTGGCTATGGAAAAGATGTCTATCACAGCAGAGCCCCGCATTTTTGTGACAAGGCATTGCTACAATGAGGGAGTGCCCGGAATTTCGTAGATTCTTTCAGAGACAACTGATGGGCTCAGATTGAGCCACCGTTGGAATGATATTCAATTTAGGGACCACCATTTCCATTTCAATATCCACTGATGTTTTGGTGATATAGGCATACGATGGACGAATTTGTTCACCGCTCCATAGCCCAAGCCAATACATATGTAAGAAGCAGCAAACACAGTAGCTCAAGTAATCTAACAACAAACAAAGGTGGCCACAAGTCATAATTATAATTATCATGTAAGAGAGCAAGGAATGGGCTGTTTGCAATGGGACATTTGTCGCGTTCCATAGATCTCTCATTTTTTTGTAAACTTTCGAATGACATTATACTTCTCTGGTCTACAAAACCGAATATATGAAACATCTTCCTCCAAAAGCCCTATTATGGTACGTTTATTTTGACTTTTTTGACATTTCTTTTTTCGTTATCTCACTTTTCTGGTTGCCCAACAATACTATTGTGTACCAGCAATTTTGAATGCCACTTTTATGTTTGGTATTTCAAAAATGCGAGCCAATGCATTTGANAAGAACAAATAAAAAAAGATTTTTTTTCATAATACGTAAGGGTGGTAAAATTATAAAAAAAAAGTGTTTCCCAATATAAATATTATATGGCAGAAATTAATAAAGTAATGCCTTGAAAAAGTCTTTTTTCCAAAAATTATTATTTGAATCATTAGTTGAAGTCACAACAAAAAAATAATAATTATTTATGTATAACAATTTATTACAATATGCTCATTTCTCAACATCTTTCATTCATTCAACATTCATTCTTTCAACATCATTCGTATGAAAAATATATATATTTTTCAATTTTCCGAGCAAGGATTTTTTCCAAAGCTTTCAATAGAGAGAAGAAAAATATCCAAATCATCAACTAGAAAAAAAAATAACAAAAGCATAATTAAGAAGAAAATTGCCATTATTTTATTTGTCAGAGGATTATTGTTCACTCAGCTATGCTACTAGTACCAATTTTTTCCATTCATCAGTGTTAATTTGATTTGCGAAAGGCATTTGACACAGTCAATCATAATGTTTTATTAAAAAAATGGAATAGTATTGGTAGTCAAGGAATTATTCATACATGGTTTGAAAATTAATTATCTAACAGAAAACAGTTTGTGTGTCTAAGGAAAAATGCCAGTTCATTGAAAACAATCACTTGTGGTGTCCCACAAGGGTCTATTTTGGGTCCAGTTTTATTTTTGATTTACATAAATTCTGTTTCAAAATTATTGTTGAAAGGATACGCGGATGACACAACACTGCTTTATTTTTCTAGCGATACTAAAGAAGTTTACAATAACATGAAAAATGACATTATATTGCTAACCTCTTGGTTAAATTATCATAAATGAAGTTTGAATTATGAAAAGTCTTCTTTAATGTTGATAACTAAGAACAAAATCACAAACAAAGAGAATTTGTCTGTTAACAACAAAATGATCAAATATTGTCAAAACACAAAATTTTTAGGACTATACATTGTAATAAAAAATGTAGGTAACAAGATACACAAGTTGGCTTCAAAGTTAGTTTTTGATGTGGAAGATGGGACTTTGATTAAATTGATTGTTTTAAAAACAACTTGAAGAACTTCATTTAAGCTTGGACTTAGGTCTTTTGAAATAAGTGCAGTGGTTCCATTTGACGTTTGAGGTAACAGCTTTGACCAAACCTTGAAGTCCCTTGTATTGTCCTGCCATAGCTCTGAAACATCAGTGCATAGACCTACGCATTTCTCCCATTGACTATCATTTTTCTCAAAATAACTGTCGATAATCTGAAAAATACACTCTCCAGTAGTGTTGGTGGTGAATTTCTTCTCGAATGTCTATGTCGCCAATAAATCTGACATAAGCTAACAAGTGAGCATCTCGATGTTTATCACTTGCTTTATCAACTTGAAGGACTGAAATGTTTTTTTAAATTTTTCCAATAACTGCTCACTCATATCTTCAGGAATGTCTGATACTCACTTTGACACAGTGTCGTTAGAAAGAGGGATGGATTTTAGTAGATGTGCAGAGCTATCTCCGAACATTGTGGCAACTATATCAAGAGCGGCTGGTACGATAAGAGTTTCTCCTATTGTGTGTGGCTTTTTACATTCAGCATTTAGCTTGAAAGGCACAGTCGTCATTTTTGTTAATGTTTTTGAGTAGATTTGAACCTATCTCGTTTGCGTGCAAAAAAACTCTTTAGGTTTATTGACTAGCTCTGCATGTTTAGTTTCTGAATGTCTCCTTAACTTGTTAGATTTCATACTATCGGCTGCTAAGGTAGCCAAGCACACTACACATTGAGACCTATCTTCATTGTTGATTGTAGTTTTAGTAAATCCTAGTGACAAATAACTGTCGTCATACTTTCTTCTTTTTGCATCCCGCACTGACTTCGAAGTACTTGCAGTTGATTCATGAGTTGTCCCACCACTGAAGTAATCCTGAGATGAACGGTTTGATATACATGCACAACTAGGATCACTTATCAAAAATCTCTTCATTCTCAAACGTATTAAAGAAACGAACTGAATTCAGAGCAAACTAAAACTTCACAATGAACAGAATACACTTGTGTTATACAAGACATCGAAAATAACCTCAAAGTTTTTGTTTAAAAGTGTCAAGGGCCGTTTATCGTACAATTTGTTGCAAGCTCTACCGGCGCTAGCCTCTTGCTCCTTGAACATAGAGGTCACTAAAACTGCTGCTTCCTTGAGAGTACAAGAATAAATATTGAAATAAAAGAGTTTCACCGTTTATACACAAAAACCTTGTCTTTTTGATGACAATGGGAAAACATATTCGAGTATTTATCTTATAATTTATATGTTTTCAAATAAGTTGGTTTTTTAATATTTTTTTTATTTTCTCACGCCCTCCCCACTGGGGGTCGCGCCCCACAGTTTGAGAACCTCCGATCTAAGAGATATAAATATTAAAATACAATGAAACATACTATCGAATATGTCATGTCTATAGTTGTTGTAAATGTTGATAACTAATACTAGTATCTATTTTTCTACTGTTTTCTACAATCGTTATGAAACTGCCATTCTTGCATAGAATGTGGTTCCATGTTTCATAACAAATAGAGCTGTCAACAAATTGATTATCCTAAAATAACCCATATCGTTCTGTTCTTCCTTTTTATTAAGTGGTAATATTATTGCTAGCTTCATTTGATCTGGTAATAATACCCCTGACTCCCAAATAAATATTAAAGACATGACAGAGTACAGTAGAAAGTGAATTTCAGTAATTAACGTGGAAGATTACCAGAACCGCTACTCAGTTTGTTTTCAAGCTTCCTGCTTGTCTGAATATTGTCTTCTTCACTGATTGGATATTGAAATATTGAATGTCGGCACCTAATTGATGTGATGTTTACCTGATTACGTGCTTCTTTTTTGCTCATAACATGCGAAGAATTCAGGAAGTGAGTATTTTGAAGCTGTTTGCTAGATCTACAAGGCAAAACATTTTCATTTTTTTAATATTTCATGTTGGGGGAATTTATACATTTCAGGTGGTTTTTGATTTATTATCGCTATTTTGTATTGAATTCATGAAGTATTCACTTTTTGTTTTGTTCAGAAATCGTCTATAACCCAATATAGTCCATAGTAAAGCTGTTATAATGAGACAAATTCATGGCTTTCTGAAATTAGGGGTATGGAGAATACCACAGGACCTATTATAGAGCCTCAGGAACACCATTTTCAAAATTTCAAAGCAATTTTGTTCTGTAGAAACATACGATTATGTAAATAGGCCTTTATAACCAATCAGTCAGTAGTGAAGGTGATATGGTATGGGATGGTCACTAATAAATGGAAACTCATTAATACAATTTACCGTATGATTTTCACTATGAAGGGTTTTACGAAAACCGCGACACGTGTTTCGCTATACAATAGCTTTCTTTTCTCTTGTGAATGCTATTGAAAAGTGAAACACGTGTCGCGGTTTTTGTAAAACCCTTTATAGTGAAAATCATACAATAAACTGTATTAATGAGTTTCAATATGGATTTCCATCAAGAATTAGCCAATTCTCTTCAATTACCAATAAATAGTGTTTTGACCGACCGGTAATTTTTAAAATCATGAAAATAATAAAGAAATCGAATTGAAAAGTGCCGGTACTGTATAATCAATATTTTAGTGTGTTAGTACATACATTTTTTTAGCGATCAATTGATGCCCTCCTGTTTTTATGTTCTCATCAATCACAAGAGAAAAATTAATGAATGATGATATTCTAATGATGATAAAACTCCTCATATTTTCCTTCAACGAACTCCTTTCAGAACTCAAATTGCTTGTTACTGTTCCATAGCGAGATTACTTATTTTCTCTAGACACCTACATTTCTGTCATTTTCCAACTTTCATATTAGTTTTCTCTCGTAAGTCTGCCAGGTATGTCCTAATAAAATGTCTTTTCTATCTTTCCCTCAGGATCGCTAGACAGCCGAGACTCGCCTACTACGAATCCTGCTAACAATCCAGCGTTCGCTCTGGACTTCGGAGATATCCCCGAAGAATATTCCCACTCCAGTACTTTCACGGGATTCCAAAGAAGCGGAAGGATAACTCCTCCAGCGACGACGATACCCAGGTTCAGGAAATACTGCATAGACGATTTCAACTTCCTGAAAGTGCTCGGGAAAGGGAGTTTCGGAAAGGTGAGAATTCTGCAAAAAGGGTTTATCGAGAGGAAATGATGTCTCGCTTGCTTGTCGTTTCACATGGATGAGGAGATAGCTCCGTATTTCTAGAAAATGGATTGATGAAGCAGATCGTCTGAATTTGTAATACTCTGTAGAGTTCATTTGAAGGTGGTTGACAATGTTTTGTGACGTATTTCATTAGTTCGGACTTCCATTGTCTAATTGATTTGAAATCCCTGAAAAATGTGTAAAAAATTAAAAAATATCATCTGAAAAATAATAATTATATTGAGTGAAAACACTAAAATTACCATGAAATAAAAACAAGCAACAGCCAAAAAATGAAAAAGAACTATCAACACGAGTCGAAAATTAAAAAATAATAACAAGAAATGAAAATTAAAACATTCCAAATCAAGTTACTTCACGTTACTTTCAATTGTTAGTATCCACAATCGTCTTTAGGTGATAACTGGAGTTATTCCTTCGAGATCTGACTATTTATAGGTCATTCGAGTGCTTTCACCTATCCCCTCTTCCCTCTCTCCGCTCCATCGGCTTTAGCGAAAACTGATCGTTTGGCGGGAGTTGGTTGTGTTCCGCTTGATTAGAGGTTTCCATATATTGCGTATCGCTACGCTAGCTTGGCTAACTGCGTTGTTGAACAACATATATGCGGCTTCTTTAAATTTTCTCCTAAACCAGTGCTCCTCCTTGTGGATGATTTCAGCTTGAGTCCACTTGATGTTATGTTGATGAGTCTAAACATGCTCTGCTATTCATGATTTGCTGGTTTCTCCTCGATGTGTGTGTTTCTTGTACTCAGCAATGCGAACTTTCAATGGCCTCTTAGTTTCACCCCGCACTCGCAGGGTATCCGGTAAATGCAATTCTTGGAATCGCAGTCTGCGTTTTATGGCCTGGTTTTCGTGAGGCTGCTACGGATAGTGTTCCAAGATCTGAATCAGGTCCAGATACTTGGATCCAATCCTTCTTATCCTTTCCGATAATCCTCTGATGTAGGAGTGTACAAATACTGGTTGTGGCGTCTTCTCTTGTGGAGCTCTTGCTGCCTTCTAGCTGAAGCCTGTTCTACAATCACTCTGGAGTAACCATTCCGTTGGAGGTCATTTTTGATGATGCCTAGTTCCTTTTCGAAACCTTCCTTTGTATTACAGAGCCCAAAAGCACGGTCTAGTAAAGTCCTGATGATTCCTCTCTTAGTAGATTGATGGTGGTTGGATTTCTGGTTCAGATACTGTCCTGTGTGAGTGGGTTTTCGATATACAGATGTTTCCCATTTAGTGTCGGTCCACTTTACCAATACGTCTGAGAAAGGCAATTCGTTGTGGACTTCCTTCTCTATTGTGAAAGTGATGGAAGGACTTACGTTGTTGATGTGATTCAGGAAAGTGTCTAGTTCTGCATTCCCATAGTTTCATATTATGAAGGTGTTGTCTTCGTATCTCAACCAGACTCGGGGTTTTTTGTGAACCGGTAAAAGTGACGATCCCATTGGCAGTCCCTTATCTTGCGTAAAGAATTCGTCTTTCAGTTGGAAGTAGCAGTTTCGTACACAGCATCCTAGTAATTCTATGATTACTTGTATCGGTGAGTTTGTTCTATCTTTCAGGTCCCCATCTTCGGATAGCTTCTCCTGTATGATTTGAAGTGCTTTTTGGACAAGGACCGTTGGTGTAGAGGCTTCCACGTCGAAACTGATTAGTTGATCATGCTCTTTGACTTTGATTGCCCCTAGTAGTTCAACAAAATGCCTTGAATTTTCTACAAAAGATGATGTTTTTCCTTGCAGTGGTTTAATTATTGGTAATAAAAATCTGGACAAGTTCTGAGTGGTTTAATCTTTGGAGCTAATGATCGGTCTGAGCGGAACATCTTTTTTGTGGATTTTTGTTAGTCCATACAAGTGAGGGGGCTTACTGTGGTGCGGTGATTTCTCTTTTCCGAAAAATAGACTTTATGTTTTTTCAACATCTGGTACAACGTAAATAGTCACTCCTCATAACTTTCGAATAGAACAAGATATCAAGGTCGGACAAAATTACAAAATTCACGTAAATACGTGATTTCTGATGGCAATAGTGTTGCATCACTTGTTGCCAAGTGGGTTCTACCATTTTTTTCAAATGGAGTCTTGTGATAACTCGTTTGAATCGTAATCAATACTTCTTTATTTTTTGAAATCGAATCACTCGTTCATGAGTAATTAGCAGTTGTAGTCCTAGAAATGGTCTTGACTCATCTCTTTTTGTTATTGGCTCTTCTCAATACAAACATGTAACAGCCAAAACAAACAAACATCTGTATCTATTTTCTTGACCGTGACCACAAAGAGTCTATAAAAAGATTTCATACTACTTGGAACTCTAATTGTTCACTACTGGGAATGAAAATGTGAATCCAGTACTTATGTAAATTTTTTTGTTACAGGTACTCCTTGCCGAGTTGAAGGAAACTGAATATTATTATGCAGTGAAATGTTTGAAAAAGGATGTCGTCTTAGAGGATGATGACGTCGAATGTACACTGATCGAAAGAAAAGTTTTGGCGCTGGGCACGAAACATCCGTACCTGTGTCATCTGTTGTGTACCTTCCAAACCGAGGTAAAATTACACCGCCCCTTCAATTTACTAATGTCTACTACATGATAAAATTAATGACTAATTTTGATATATAAATGATGATTTCATCAAAGCCGTACATGGACTTATCAACTTCGTATACAAAGGTCACTTTCCAAGAAAAGGAAAGTTTTTCCTGTTTCACTCTCATTTTCTTGTATTGCGGTTGGTTAGACCAGATCCAAGCCGTACTTAGTATCTGAATTCATGGAAGCTTTTTGGCAAATTACCCTCAAACTTGGATTAATTGTAAGAAAATTAATATTTTGAAATGCAATATCGTGTTAACTTTCCATACAGTAGGATCTGGTAAATGTCTGACGGAAACCTACACTCCAGGTTAATACTTTGATATTTAATTATATTTTTTCATAGGCCTCTTTAATAACACTTCCAAAATACAAATCATGAAATTATAAAACAACAATAAATATTAATTGGCGCTCCTGCAGCACCACATCATCTGAAGATCCTGTTCTGCCAGTGTCCTCTCTCTCATAAAACAAAATACATCGCCAGAACACTTCGTGACACGACTATCGTCAAACTTAAACCAGTGCGTTTCGTCTTTGACCAAGGCGTAATAATGACAAAATTCAACGCCAGAACCACAGTGAACAATGACTGCATGAATATTATAATAATGGTCTGCTAGATTGAAGTGTTCATCTATTTCGAACCTTCGTAAGAGTTTGGTGCTTCCGTCAGAGGTTGAGTCATGTTTGAAGATTATCAGTGTTATTATTAGATTGACTGGTGCCTCAGCTATACTTGTTTCCTTATAACAGTCAATTAGTTTGGCGTATGTTTGGCAATACAGTCGATCATCATCTTTTGATAGTTCCATTTCCAGATGATTTAACAATACGCTTTGCACGGATTGATTATTAGTCATATCAGGAAACCCTAGTTGAAGTTCCAGAAATTCACATATGTTTTTGCCACCTCTTGAACATTTACTACAAAGTAAACAAGTGAGGATTTTTCCAGCAAAAGATTTGCAAATACAAGACGAGATAGACTGTACGGAATTATTCGATCCAGAGCGGTCAGGAGTATTGATTCTGCTATTGTTTTGCTCACGAAGAGTATTCAACAAGAACCCCAAGAATTCGAAACAATCCTCTTGAAGATGATCACTCGATGATCGAAACACGTGTTGAGGTGTTGAAATAACGGTTTGATGTTGGGAAAAAACTCCAGTAGGTAATATTAAGCCATTCCTGGTAATAATAATATGAACCCATAGTAAATCACCAATATCGTAGTTAATGCATTTGAAACAAGGGAAGCACCAACTCGGGAACTGCAACCGTAACCACATCGCCTTCGATAATGTACACCGCAGTAGTAGACAAAACGTCTGGCATAAAAACCTGCGAACAACGGTAAAAATAGAACGGCAAATGTTTTCACACACTTATTTTTGGCCGTCAAAGTTTACATTCTTTGACTCGTTTCAGTAATATTTCTGTTGAAACTGCTCCTTCAACTTGGAGGTGGTCAAAACAGTTTAGCAGTGTTCCAGGTCTATCTGCATTGGCACAACATTGAACCTGATATTTTCAGAAATTACGAGGCAAGAAAATATCTTCTCCATGGCATTTTGACAACTTTGTATATCATCACGATCAATCGAAATGGGAATAAAATATCCCCCGTTCCTAGTTCCACGGTTATTGACTCCTTTTTGTCCCCAGCGATAGAAACACTAATTTAATGCCGATAAATCCAACGAATTCGCCAGAAAACATAATGCCGAATGAATTATTTGTTTCAGTCGCATCTGTTCTTCGTTATGGAGTACCTGAACGGCGGCGATTTAATGTTTCATATCCAGGCGTCTGGCCGCTTTCCGGAACATCAAGCCAGATTTTACGGAGCCGAGATCGTTTCGGGCCTGAAATTTCTACACAACAAAGGAATCGTTTACAGGTACATAAATTATGTGTTTGTTGTTGTGGGAGCGAATATCGTTTGTCGTTACATGTTCAACCAATTCCTGTACGATAAAATATGTTAGTCTCCGGAGAATTGAATAAGGTATCCGTCACAGTCGAATTTATTTTTAGATGAATGTGTAAACTGCTGGTTGAATATACAGTATTTTCATTCAAAAGTAATGTGATTGATAATGGATGTGTGCCTGAATACATTTCAAAGAATTTTTTGTCAGTATTTTCATTTAAAAGTGATGTGACTGATAATGGGTATGGGCCTAGATAGCATAGAAATTTGTTCAGTTTCTTACTTTCCCATCAATATTTATGAAGATGTGTAGATCATGATCCATGTGAAACAAATTTCTAATATATAAATTGTAAATTACAGAAATATCACTGTTTTCCATTCAGCTGGTACTCTAAACATTCGCAACAGGAACCCTACACAACGTAATATATGGAAGAGTTTTGATATAAAATTTCACTTGCAACGGAAACTTTCAATTTCATGTGGACTTTTGATAGTTTCATCCGAAAAGTTATCTAAAAAGGTATCTGTATCTGTAGAGTGTAGGCCCACAGCACTTAGGCCACATGTGACCCATTGTACATCCTCCCAAGGAAGTGCCCTCCTAGGTTATCGGCCATCCTGTCCTTTCCAGGAAGGTGGACAGGTCTCTGGAAGACATCTCCTTTATATCGGCAGGTGAAGGCCAAACACCGCCGAACACACACTCTCTTATTGACGATAACTCCGAACACTCGCATAGGACATGCCTGACAGTTCCATCTTCTTGTTCACACATCCTGCATAGAGGTGTGTCCACTAGACCCATATTGTGGAGGTGTTTCCTCAGTTGACAGTGGCCAGTCAGAAATCCTACTGTTGAGCATAGAATTTTCCTCGTCATCGCCAGATATTTCTTCGGCGCCAGCTTCACAGGGTCGCTCAGGGAGATCCTGGCAAAATTGCATCGTTTAATTTCATCCCTTCTCTTTAGGGATTGATCATGGGTGTGACATTTGGCTAGTTCCGCAATTGTCGAAGTCATCAGGCTGTAGGCGCCACTGGGTCCTTAAATTCTTTGTGCAGCTGCTTCCTTGGCTAAAGAGTCAGCAATACGATTACCTTTACTCCTGTCGTGCTACCTTTACTCCTGTCGTGCCCTTCAACCCACCTCAGGATAATGTTATTATCTACCAAAGATTGAGCTAAATCTTGGTAGCACTCTTGTACTAGTCCTGAGGTACCACTTTGTCTGTTCAAGGCTAATAGGGATTGTCTGCTATCAGTGCAGATTATCATGTTTTTGTCAGAAATTCCTTTCCTGGTTATTTCTTTTGTGGCGATTGAGATAACATCTAGTTCTGTTTGGACCACGCTGGTATTTTTTCCCATTTCCCACACAATCTTTAGACTTAGTACTTTCCACTCCTCAACTGGAGTACACTCCACATCCTGAGTCTTCTTCGGATTTGGAGCCGTCTGTATATATGCGTATTGCATTTGTAGCATCTGACTCAGTGTTCTTTTCATTTGTATTTTATAGAGTTTATTAAACACAGACCTGGGTTCAATTGCATCACTGGTTGTCTGCAGCAGAGGTTTTGCAGCAAGCGCTCCTCACCATAGGCTCAGCCTCAATTGTCCCATTCCTACTTCGAGGTTTACACCAGCCGTGCGCAATCGTAACATGGTCATTAACGCAACCTCCTCAACGTACAGGTCAAGGGGGGTCAGGCCAGTAATGGTCTGACTATCTGAAAAGGTATTCAAGAAGATCTTACCTGTACTGACAGAAGGTAATACCTCTGCTGGGGAAGTGAATGTCTTCTGACAGACGTTATCCAGAGCCTACTGTGTAGGTGTTGCAAATTTTATTTCAATATATTTAATTTCTCCTTGTATGTATCTCTCCTCGATAGTTTTCATTTTTGATTTCTGGAAGACTAGTAACTTTAAAGAAATGTTCACTCAATTCTTAAAAAAATCTACAAATCTATGTCACGGGAAGCGAGAATTATACTCATTCTCAATAACCTAGAAGTCTATCCGGAAATTGTGACTTATATACATTTTCACATATTACGTTTTGTAGCGTCCCTGCCTGAGTCATCAATTTCAAATCTATTACGAATGTTTGAAGAACAATAGTGATTGAGAAGTGATTTCAGTGATTTCCTAAAAATTAATTTTGTCTTCCAATAACTTTGATAATCTAACACTCAAGAGTGTTTCTGATGAAGTTTTTTTCAACACCAAATCGTTTTCAACACCTCGACACGTGTTTCGTTCACCAAGAGATCATCTTCAAGAGAAAGATTAAACTGGAACAACTTGCAAAGCTAACACTATTTATACTATGCGGGTATACCACACATACAGGTATACCACACCTTTGGTATCTTAAATTAATTTTACAATTTGCCTTATTTATCAATTTCATAATACGTCTAGTCTAATCTAATCTAATATTTAAGTGTTAGGTATAGCTTATATAAAACCATTTTCAAGCAAAGTGGCTCACTAAGGAATTTGAAAGCTTATATATTGCGAAACCAGGTTTTAATATAAAAAAAACTCTTTAGAGTTACAACATACAAAAAACATCGTTCTGCAAGAAGGTGAAATTTTGTTTTTTTTTTTATTTTAGCTTTTCATTTCCTTGCGTCCCAATTCCCAATAATAACGAAACCGATGAATTCGTTTCTCTTACTAATTTGTGTATGAAAAAGAATCGGTTCCAGGTAGAAGGTTGCTTTTATGAACAACAGGAAGGAACGGCCATGGGTAACCCCTTGTTCCCCTACCTGGCAGACCTGTTCATGAGCAGATTCGAAATGGAAACCAAAGAAAAGTCAAAGTATCTTCCTAGGATTTGGCTAAAGTATGTGGATGATATTTTCGTGATATTCGGTACTAAAAAATCGAATATTGATGACTTTGTTTCCTTTTTAAATAATAGATGTCCATCAATAAAATTCACGTATGAGTTAGAAAATGAAGGACAACTACCATTACTTGACGTTTTGGTAATGAGGAACCAATATGGAGGGTTAGAATACGATATATTTAGAAAAAAAACGAGCATATTCCTGACAGTTCACATCACTATAGACAGCACAAACGTGCTGTCACATCACTGTGGACAGCACAAACGTGCTGTCCATAGAGATGTGAACAATACAGGAAATAGCAGCCACTAACGGTTTCTCGAGGGGTATTGTAGATGACATAACAAGGAAGAAGAAGTTTAGGTTAAGAATGAACGAAATCTCGACTTTCAGAAAGGACAAAAATCAAGATAAATATATCTCAGTTCCATACACGAAGAACTTTGGAAATATTTACAAGGAACTAGGTATGAAGATGGTTTTTAAAACAAGACATACACTACAGAGCCGTTTGGAAAGTCCAAAGCAAAGTTCAGAAGTCAGAAAAGTCTGGAATTTACGAAATTGAATGTAAGGACTGCGATGCAGAAGATTACGGACAGACAAAAAGATATATTAAAGTAAAATATAAGGAACACTTAACACACTTAAAATATGAAAAACCTGAAAAATCAGCAGTTGCCCATCATATTTTGCAACAAAAACCATTCATTAAGATAAGTTAGACAAGTTAACAACAACAGGCAACCATATGCCTATGAGAGTGTAGAAATAAGTAAACATAATAATATTATCAATAACGATGACGGACCAATACCAATACCAATAGCATACTGTATAGCTTGTTAAAATAATATTATTAGATTCACTGACTATTACATAAGGACACATTGTAAAAATAAATTTAGGACAAGTAGATAGGCAAATGTGAAATAAATTTTTATATAGCTTGAAAATGGTTTTATATACAGCTTTAACATTTGAATATTAGATTAGATTAGATTAGACGTATTGTAAAATTAATAGAAAAGGCAAATTGTAAAATTAATTTGAGACACCAAAGGTGTGGTATACCTGTATGTGTGGTACACCTGTATGGTATACCTGTATGGTATACTCGTACAGTAAAATAGGCTTAGCTTTTTTCCATTCAAAGATGATGAAACTTGCTTATTCGGGAATAACTTGATCGATGAAAACCATACCAACAGTAGCGTTGGAGATTCTCTTGAATCTAGTACCTTCACCTCAATATCAATATAATGAATGTATTTTGACATTCCATTTTTCCACTTTTCATTTTATACTGTTTGTAAGACCATCTGAACACTCAGTGGAAAACCAAAGCTTTGAGTTTTCTTCGATAGTTTCTAGAAATATGATTCCGAACAGGTGAGATTTAGTGCATTGAATCCTAGGGTAAGGTCCCAGAACATTTGCCAATCTGATTCATTTATACAGTGGCAATTTATGTTCGATAGTGATTGTGAGTATTTTTGTTAATTCATCCCTATTTAAACTCGTAAACTTTAATTGATATGCTTGAAGTGTCTTCTATCCCATTGTAAATAACTTGTTCTACAGTGGTAAGTGTTAAAAAGGGATTCAGTATTTCTGTAGATGGCGCCTGAATAAGAGCTTTCAATTTCGTAACCCTTTTTAGCACTTTTGATTGGATTTATCTAAAACATCAATACCCGACATTCGCTTTTGCCTCTGCAAATCTATAAGAGTTATCATCAATTAAGTTAGATAAAAAAGTTTATGGGAATATCCCTAAAATTACTAGAGATATTTAAAATTTGGAAAAAGGAACCCAAAGAACAGAAGTTTCCTAGGAAAACCAGTAGCACCAGTAATTTTATTCAAGCAGTGAAAATACGGCTAAAAACATGTTTGGCTCACGCATGCGACGTCTGATTCGGATGTTTCTATAAACAAAAAAAAAAAGGTTTTAACCTATCAAAAGTTTAAAAAATCCATACTTGACAATAGTTGAATGAACGATAAATAATCCGCCTGCAGAAATTTGTATCACAAATTTTCCTATCAATTATGCTATTTCCTACAAGTTGATAGTTTACATGTGAAACATTGATAATTTTCAAAGAGTGTGATGTTTTCCTCATTTGGAGCCATTTTTTGAAATCTTTAGAAATGATATTTGTGGAAATATAAAAAAAAAACAGTACTCTTCATGATTATTCAGTTACGTTGAAAAACATGTAAAGTATTGATTACTTTCAAATATTCCGATTGTTTTGTTATTCTGTTGAATACATGTTTATTTCCCAAAAAAATATTCTGCATTGCGTTAAAACTAATTTGTTAATTAACTATTTATTTTTGTCAGGGATGATCAAGAAACCATTTCTTTGCAAGATATTCTTTCAATTGTTTCATTTGTTTGATAAATCAAATTTATATTATTTATGAATGAACTTTTCGATGATGAACGAAGTATTATAATAATTTTTTTAGGGAAGAAGGCAATTGAAATGTAGAAAAAAAAATTTTTTTCTTGAAAATGATACAAGTTTATTTTTAATTATTTTTCGATTTTACAAAGTGGAGTTTTCAAAACAACTTGTTTATTGAAGAACAAATAAAAAAAGATT